AGATATTGGATATGCCTACACTTAGCTACTAATCAGCACATATAATATACACGGGCCGGCATTGGTGCCTTCAACCTGTTCAATCCAGGAGGAAACCCACCTCAAAAATTTCAGATGATAGCTGAAACGTCTGTGTCCCGAAATCATCTCTACTCAATCCATGAACCAAAACAATTCCTTAGATGTCATTTCATACTCATAAATCTTTAGGGTCAACTATGGCCAAAATCAAGTCTAAGTCAAAGTTAAAGTCAACGCTCCGAGTTGACTCAACTCCTCGAGTTTCCCCCATCAACTCTTTGAGTTCCTATGAATCACAAAATCATGAAATTGCGATCCAACTCGTCGAGTTTTCCTCCAACTCACCGAGTTCTTCCTTTTTAACAGAATCGGGACACTTCGACCCAACTTGACAAGTTCCTCTATGAACTCGTCGAGTTCTTCAGCTTGTTAGCCCTTCTTAATGCATTAAGCCCTTATTCTTCAGATTTACACACTATAATCCAGATCTAGACTGGAAATGCCTCTATACGGGTAAAGTTTCCAACTTTGCCCATTAATACATTTCCTAAAGGGATTAAGCTCAAACCCTAACCCAAAAAGGCCAAAGTCATAATTAAAATATCACCAAAACTACAAGATGGACCATGAGGTCATAGATCTGGACTCTAGGAACAAAAGATCATGTAAAGTCCTAGCTTTCTCTACCTTCATCGCAATTAGAAGCTCCAAAATGCCAAAATGATGGTCTAAAGGTTGCATGGGACTTCCATGGTTATAAATTTGGCACCTTAATGCCATGAAAACCCCTCAAGACCTTAGATCTGAAGTGTTAACCCATTTGGGACGTCCAACTCCCAAGGACCATGATATTTGGACCAAACCCAAGCCAAATAACCCTAAAAGAATATCTAAACAACTACAAGGCGAGGCTCAAGCTTTATACCAGCAAAATGTTGTGGATGGGGAAAGGATTTTGGATCTATAAGCTCATTCTTGTGTCCTCAAGCTTTTCCTTCTTCCAATGGCTTCGAGTACACACTAAAAACACTTAGAATGGCTCACAATTAATCACGATAACTTTAGGGTTTCGAGATTTAGGATTAGGTAGTTGGAGGCTGGAAATGAGGCCAACACCTTAGGGCTAAGGTGTTTAAATAGGGTGAAAACCCCGGAAATTAGGGTTTTATATCTTCCATCCTACTCGTCAAGTTGAGGCCTCCCAACTCGTTGAGTAGGTTACCTAAAATATACTACCCTTATGATCTCTACTTGACGAGTTTGGGGCCCCCAAATCATTGAGTTGCTCTATAAAATAGAATACATTATAAGGTAAATACATACCAAGAATCAAGCATTACAATTCTCATCCACTTGTCTCAGACTTCGTCCTTGAAGTCTGTTGTCTCAAATAATTCTGCATAATGCTCTCTCATCTCCTCATCTGGCTCCCAAGTCCACTTTGACCCCTTGTAGTGCAGCCACTACACCTTCACCAATTGTACAACCTTGTTCCTCAAGGTTTTCGTTTTTCGATCCAAAATCATCACTGGCCTCTCAACAAAGTTCAGGCGGTCGTCCACCTGAAATATCCTCCAAAGGCACAAGTGCGGAATCATCTAGGAAACATCAAAAGTAATGTGGATCTGACTAAGCTCGATTGGAAGATCAAGGCGATAAGCTACACGACCCACCCGATCCAAAACCCTTAACGGACCAATGTACCTGGGACCCAACTTACCCCGCTTCCTGAATCGGATGACACCCTTCCAAGGTGACACCTTCAGGAGAACCATATTTCCTACCTGAAACTCTAGGCCCGATCGGCGTCTGTCAGTAAAGCTCTTCTGCCAAATCTGAGTTGTCTGAAGTCTACTCCGGACCAGCTGGATCTTTTCAGTAGTCTTAATTACCACCTCAGTAATCCCCATAACTCTCTTTCCGACCTCTCCCCAACATATTAGGGTGCCATATTTCCTCCCGTAGAGCATCTCGAAGGGAGGTTGGTCTATGCTAGTGTGATAACTGTTGTTATACGAACAGTCCACTATCGGAAGATACATATCCCAACTCCCGCCAAAATCTAATACACATGCATGTAGCATATCCTCCAGAGTCTGAATCGTCCTCTCAGTCTGTCTATCTTTCTGAGGGTGAAAATTTGTACTGAAGAGAAGATGAGTACCCATCTCGTCGTGAAACCACTTCCAAAATCTGGAAGTGAAGTGAACATCTCGGTCAAACATAACCACAACCGGCACCCCATGACGTGCCACCACCTCGCGGAAGTAGATCTCGGCTAGCTTCTCAACCGATATACTCTCTTGGATCGGGATGAAATGTGCACTCTTGGTCAACCGATCCATGATGACCCAAATCGAATCTACTCCACGTGCAGTCCTGGGAAGCTTTATGATGAAATCCATGGTGATGTCTTCCTATTTCCACACGAGAATCTCCAACAGCTGCATCTTCTCGTGAGGTTGTTGGTGCTTGGCCTTGACTTTCCTACAAGTCAAGCATCGCTACGCATACCAAGCTATGTCCTGCTTCATGCAGAGCCACCAATAATCAAGGCAAAAATCCTGATACATCTTTGTCTCCTCGTGATGAATGGAGAATCTCGACTTGTGAGCCTCCTCCATCAAAACTTGGCGTACACTGCCCCAGTAAGGAACCTAGACCCTCCGAAGCAGGGTCAACAACCTACGACTGTCATAATTAAATTAAGCCACATGACCTATGGTCCGCTCACACTTTCGGGGCTCCTCCTTCATACCCTCGACCTGAGCCTCCCGAATTCGTTCCAACAACAGAGTAATCACTGTCGTCCTCAGGCATATATCCCAAATCGGAGCCGCAACCGCCTTGCGTCTAAGAGCATCAGCCATCATATTGGCCTTCCACGGGTGATAAAGGATCTCAAAGTCATAATCATTCACCACGTCTAACCAGTGACGCTGCCTCATGATCAGATTCGGTTGGTCCATCAAATACCTCAGACTCTTGTGGTCTGTGTAAATGGTACAACAAACCCCATAGAGGTAGTGTCACCAAATCTTGAGGACGAAAACCACAACCCCCATCTCCAGATCATGTGTCGGATAGTTTGCCTCATGAGGCTTCAGCTGCCTCGATGCATACGCAATCATGCGAACCCGTTGCATCAGAACTGAACCCATACATGTGATCAAAGCATCACAGTAAACCACAACATCGTGGACACCCACCTACAAGGTCAGAATCGGTGCCTCGCACAACCGCTGTCTGAGAGTCTCAAAAGTTGCCTACTGATTAGGCCCCCAAAGGAATGTCACCGAATTCTTGGTCAGTCAGGTCAATGGAACAACAATCTTGGAGAAATCCTAGATGAATCTTCGATAATAACCCACCAAGCGAAGAAAACTCTAAATCTCAGATGGAGACATCGGAACCTCCCACTGCATCACGACCTCTACCTTGGCCGGATCAACCAAGATACCCTTCTGGTTGACAAGGTGCCCAGAAACTGCACCTCATCAAACCAGAACTCACACTTAGAGAGCTCTGCGAAAAGTATCTCCCTCCTCAATGACTCCAGCACCTCCCTCAGGTACTCCTCGTGTTGCTCCTGAGTCTTGGTGTAAACCAAGATATCATCGATGAAGACTATCACAGACTGGTCCAACATCAGTCTGTATACACGGTTCATGAGGTCCTACTACTAGAAAACAACCCTTTAATGACGCGCAAACAATGACACGTGGTGATAGAGGACATGCATTTGCGCGTGCCCTAAAAACTAATGTCAGTTTTCCAAAATTTTAAGGATAGAGGACACGCATTTTTACATACCCTAAAATTAGTGTCAGAAAAGAAAAAAAAAATGCGGAGGGCGCCTTTCATAAAATATGCGTCATGTAAATTTATCGCTTTATAATTTTTAAGTGAAACACGCGTTTTAGGCAGGAAATGAAATCGACAAAAATTACCCCCGCCTATTGGATCCGAGAGATTAAACCACCCGTCTCTTCGACTTAGCAAGAAAAATCCCTAGGGCCTCATCTTCATCTTCAGCGGTGGGAATACCTAGGTAGATTCTTCAGGGTTCAACAACATATTAGTAAACAGCAAACGTATACGATTCTGGATCTCGACATGATTATGGCGCTTTGGAGTCGGTGACGTGAACATCATTTGTGATAAAAGTTCATACAAAACTCAAGAATTTTTATGGTTTCGATTATTGAGTGAGGTTTAATGGTTTTGGACTCTTTACTAATTGAGTTGAAATTGAACCCTAGAACCTTCCTCTACATCACCGCCTCACT